GGTGCAGGCTTGTGGGGAACCTGGGAGATACTGCTGGCAGGTGTGTGGGGAAACCTGGGACCTGGCATCCAGACAGGAGGAATGAACCTGGGAATTTCTCCATGTGCGGGGTCTGTGGATTGATCATGGCGGGGGATAAGGAGCTATGTGGGAGGGAAGACCACTGAAGGAATATGTTGAATATGAGGGATGACTTCTGGGGTCTCTCATTGACAAGACCATTGTACTTGCTGGTAAGTGTACTGAGGCCAAGTGGTTTGTTGGGTGGAAGCCACAGGACTTCTATGGGTCAGACAGATACACCAGTGCACGTGGGAGATCTCAGCTGGGCTAGTTAGCATGGATCACAGCCAACCACCACTCACTGGCGCATACTAAATCTAGGGCTGGGGACCTACCTGGCAGGGCCAGATCACAGTACCTGCTGGTGAGAGTCAAAACAGTGGATGGGTAATGTTAGCCTGGGTCATGACATAACCAGCATGTGAGAGAACCATGTTTGGGGGGCAGATTCTGTGGGTGATATGTGGGTCCACCCCTGTGGAACTGTGATTTCTGCTGGCTTGCTTAAGCGCTGGAGGTTGTGACAAGCTGAGTTGGACATGACCATAGAACCCTGTGACAATCATGGGTGCTAGGATTGGGGACAGGCCAAACCGGTCCACACTAAAGCATCCACAGGCGCATGCAAGAATAGGGTATGGGTCGTGCTGGTCCACAACATCCACTAGCTCATACAAAAGCTGAAACAGAGGGCCTACTCTATGCCAAGTAAGGACCTATCACGTGCTGGCACATGTGAGATCTGAGTCTGGGAGTGGGCTTGTTGGGTGAACTTAGGAAAACTCCCTTGGTGGGCCATACCTCTCATTGGTGAGCATGTGATTCAGGCCTGGGTGTTGGTCGGGCTGGGCAAGGTAGTTTCACTTATTGGCAAGAGTGTGGAATGGTTCTGAAGAAGGTTGGACCAGGCGGGGCCAGATCAACTTTAACTCTCTAGCATGCAGGAGCCAGCCTGGAGTGCGGGTCATATTGGGCTTGGCTATCACACTTACCAGTTTGCATTAGCCAGGGATGGGAACAGTCTGGTCAGGGCAAGGTTACAGCACCTACCAATAAGAGTTGGGATTGAGGGTGGGCCGGGACAGGTCAGGCTGCAGCATCCAATGGCAAAGGCCAAGAGAGGGGATGGGCTGTGCCAAGCTGAGTCACAGCAGTTGCTGGCACGTGCAAGATCTGTGGCTAGAAACAGTCCTGGTTGGGAGCTAAGGAGACACCCTGGCTGGGTTGTGGTTCCCATTGCTGAGCATGAGAGCTAGAATGGGACAGGAGTTCTGGACTGGACATGACTACAGTATCCCTCAGCATGGGTGTGGACTGGGTCTGGGGTGCACCAAACTGGGCTAGACTCTAGCACCCACTAGTGCTTGTGAGAGACAGGGTAGGGTAGGATGGGCTGGGGTATTGGGGTATGGACCAGGTGTGGCTGGACTGTAACATCCAACAGTAAGAACTGAAACACGGGTTTGGTGTGGTGACCTAGTGGCTAATGTCCTCACCTTGAAAGCGCCGTGATCCCATATGGGTGCCAGTTCTAATTCCAGCAGCTCCACTTCCCATCCAGCTCCCTGCTTATGGCCTGGGAAAGTAGTCGAGGATGGCCCAAAGCCTTGGAACCCTGCACCAGCGTGGGAAACCTGGAGCAAGTTCCTGGCTCCTGGTTTCGGATTGGCTCAGCTCCGGCCATTGCAATTACTTGGGGAATAAACCATCAGATGGAAGATCTTCCTATCTGTCTCTCTTTCTGTATATCTGACTTTCTAATAAAAAATAAATAAATCTTAAAAAAAAAAAAGAACCAAAATAGGTGTTGGTCTGTTGGGCAAAGCCACTGTTCTTGCTAGGACAGAAGGTAGACTAAGTCAGTCTGGGCCAAGGACCCACCAGACTGTGTGAGATCTGCTACTGGGAGGAGGCCTGATAGAGGAGCTTGGGGAAGTCCTCTGTCAGGATGCAATCCCTGCAGGTGAACACAGGAACCAAGGCAGGTTGCAGTAACTGCCAGCATACGTGTGGGTCAGGTGTGGGGGCAGGCCAGGATGGACCAGTTCATAACACCCACTGGTAGATCTGAGAACCAGGATGAGGTGCAGGATAATCAAAGTCATGCTGCACCATCAGCCAGTCCACTTTAGGGCTGGGACTGCAGGCTGGCTGGGCTGGGCTGGGCTGGGCAGTGGTACCCACCAGCATGAACTGGAACTGGGGACAGACCTGGCCAGGCCAGGTTACAGCACCTGTTGGCTAATGCCAAGGTGAGGCAGGCCATGCCAGATTGGAGTGCAACAACCACCAGCACACATGAGTCTTGGCAGGGGTGCGGGGAGATGTGCAAGATCATTAGGGGGGTCATGGGGGGCTCTCCTGCTGGGCTACTGCTCCAACTGGTGAGTACGAGTACTGGAACCATGGGGTAGACCAGGCCGGTCAGGTCTGCAACATCTGTGAGGATACATCCAAATGAACTGCTGGACTCAGAACTCCAACCATGGGGAGAATTGCAGGATCTGTGGTCTGACCGTGGAGTGTATGTGTCAGAATTGGACCTCCTTAAGATGGAGTAGTGGACAGCATATCTAGATGCACATGGAGTATACGACAGTCCATTTGGGGCCTGCAGAGCACATTTGGTATAATAGCAGAGGAAGGAGAGCAGAACAAAGCACCGACAGCAGATATCTGGGTGAATGGTGACTCTGGGGTGGACTGTATCAGCAGATGGACCTTGGAAAGATTTCCTCATCTCTGGACCAGTGAGACCAACAGCATTTCAGAGCTATTGAAAGCATTCCAGCAGAACCCTCAGAACAGGCTCCTCACCAAGGACTCTGATGGAATGGAGTGGCTGATCCCCATCCGTAGGTACTGGGGCGTCAGGGAGGCTGCATACATCTTCTCCCCTAATTTATCCCCTCTTCCCTTAAATGCTTCCCTCACCCACAGTCCCTAGTCCTCGACCCTCCCCACCCTGGTCAACTGTGTAAACATCATCATCATCCAAAAAAAAAAAAAAAAGAATGGCACTGTGGGGGCACCACCTGTGGCACTGACATCCCATATGGACACCAGTTCAGGTCCTGGCTGCTCCACTTCTGATCCGGCTTCCTGCTAAGGGCCTTCCATCCAACCAGCCAAGGGTGGAAGATCTCCTTATGTCATTCTCTATAATTCTGACTTCAAAATAAACAAACACTTTTCTTAAAAAAAGAAAATAAATAAAATATGAGGATAAGAAACAAAAAGGCAGTTGTGAATTAAAAGTGATGATTCTCTTTCTAAAAGATGTATTTTTACTCAAAAGGCAGATTTTGCAGGGAGAGAGGTGATACAGTGAGATCTTGCATCTACTGGTTCATGTCCCAGATGGTGACAATGGCTGGAGCTGAGCTGCTGTGAGGCTGGCAGCCAGCAGTCCCCTCTCCCACATGGGTGGCATCTTCCGCTGCTCTCCCAGGCCAGCAGCAGAGATCTAGCTCAGAAGTGGAGCAGCCGGAATAAGAACTAGTGCCCATTTAGGACTCTGACATTAAGAGGTAGAGGGTTAGCTAGCTACACCACCACACACTACAAATTCAAAGAAGCAAGAATCAGCTGTTTTTTTTTTCTTAAATATTTATTTGAAATGGAGAACGAGGGAGAGAGCAACAGGGACCGAAAGATCTGACACAGTATTACATCTCTTTTTTTTTTTAAAAAAAGATTTACTTATTTTTATTACAAAGTCAGATATACAGAAGAGGAGGAGAGACAGAGAGGAAGATCTTCAGTCCGATGATTCACTCCCCAAGTGAGAAGTGGAGGAGAGACAGAGAGGAAGATCTTGGGCCATCCTGGACTGCTTTCCCAGGCCAAGCAGGGAGCTGGATGGGAAGTGGAGGTGCCAGGATTAGAACCGGTGCTCATATGGGATCCCGGGGCATTCAAGGTGAGGACTTTAGCCACTAGGCCACGCTGCTGGGCCCACATTTCTAACTTTGAAAACTTTAAAATCATTAAATTTAACTTGAAAATGTAATACCTTAACTCAGCATAAAAATGCTCATTTACAAAACAGATGTTTTTTTAAAAAAAGTTTTCTGGAACAAGTCAGAAAAAGACCCACATCCATTTTATTTGTTCCCAATAAAATTTCTAGTCTATGCTAGTTATCCTCTCTGAAAACTTCTGGCCTTGACAGGAGTTCACCTTATCTGGAAAAAAAAAAAAAGTCATTTTTTCAGGTATAGTTGCTTCTCACTCCATGCAAAGTGAAGCCAACTTAACAAAACCGCAAGGACTTGGCTATTTCAAACACAAGGTAAGTTATTGTTGTTATTATTGGCCCAAGTTACCCACTTCAACCACACTGCCGCCTCCTGCAGGGTGAGAAGTCAGAGCACCACAATGCTTCTCTACCCAAGTCGACGGAGACTGGAATTAGGGCAGCGCAGTAACCTAAGCCCGGGAGTGGATCCCCGCCTCTAAGACCTGCATCTCCTAGGGAAAGACTACCGCTTTCCATATTACAAGCTGGAGAGAAACGAGGCTCCTGAAGTTGTTAGGAAATGTTCTCAGGGCCTCCGCCCTCCACACTGCTCCGCCTGTAGCCCAGCTCGGAATCAGCCGCTCGCTGCGCCCGCCTTTAAAGAAGCCGCGCGCGGTCTGGCTGCCCTGCAGCTCAACTTCCGGCCACACCAAGGGAGGATGTTTTCCTACTGGAGCCAAGGCCGCGGGGACGCGCCCCTGGCCACGCCCCCTGGCCACGCCCGCCACGCCCGGTGCAAGGAGCGCGGAAGGGGCGGGGCCGCCGAGGCCGGCGAGGCTGGCTGCCCGGTGCGTGCGCCTCGGCCCTGCGGAGCGGACGTCACGCGGCAGGCACGCCCCGAGCGAGCGCAGGGCGCGGCGGCGGCGCGCGCGCGCGCTCCCTGCGCCCTCCCGGGTGACGTGCCGGGCCGAGGCCGCGCTAGGGCGCTGTAGCTGCCAGGGCGGCTGTCATGGCGTCGGAGGCGCTGGCTGAGGAGAACCGGCCGCGGTCTCTATAGAGCGAGGGGCGGGCGGCCGGGGATGGAGAGCGGCTCTGAGAGCCTGCAGCCGCCAGAGCACGGGGTGGCGGCTGGGCCCGCGCCGGCGACGGGTTCCCCGCCGGGAGGACGACAGGAGACCGGGCTCGCCGCTGGGGATGGTCCTGGAGTATGCTCGGCGGAAAGCGGCGGTGGGAATGGGCAGGGGGCGGAGGCCGCCGGGAGGAGCCTCCCGAACCCGGCTCCCTCGGGCTCGCCTCAGGTTTCCGAACCTCGCGGCTTCGTCCCGGGCTTGGACTTGAAGGAGAGCGCTTTGGAGAGCCCCGCTGCCGCCAAGGCTCCTTCGGGAGGGCAGCACAAGGTGACCGCCTCCCCGGAGCCAGCGGAGGCCGGAGCGGGCCGTGGGTCGGGTCCGGCCGGAGACGGTGGAGCCCGCACGGATCCCGCCGGCACCTGTGAGACGCTGGCGACCTCCTGCTCCGAGGAGCCCGGCAGCGCCGGCGGTCTCCACAGCAGTTGCAGCGACCCGAGCCCTCCTGGGGACTCGCCGAGCCTGGACTCCCTGGAGTCGTTCTCCAACCTGCATTCCTTCCCCAGTAGCTCCGAGTTCAACAGCGAGGAGGGAGCGGAGAGCAGGGTCCCCGAGGAGGCGGAGGGCGCGGCCGCCTCGCCAGGAGCTGCCCCTCTGTGCAGAGAGGACGGGGAGGAGGAGGAGGAGAGCGCTCAGGTGTTGGCGGCCTCCAAGGAGCGCTTCCCGGGACAATCTGTGTATCACATCAAGTGGATCCAGTGGAAGGAAGAGAACACACCCATCATCACGCAGAACGAGAACGGACCCTGCCCTTTGCTGGCCATCCTCAATGTTTTGCTTCTGGCTTGGAAGGTACATTCTGCAGCTTTTTCTACTTCCTGTGCCTTGGGGGGAGGGGGAGGGCGGGGTGGAACTGTAGGTGCCCCGCTGGTCGCCTCCTTTCTGCGTTCATCGGCCCTCTTTGTAGCTCACCTGAACATCCTTGCAAGGGCCCCTCGTGGCAGACGTGTTCTCGCATACCTGTGCGTTCGTCACAGAAGGTTTGCTCCTGACCACGTTCAGTTGTGGGTTAATATGTATAGCACTTACCAACAAGTAGGACTGAACGCATCCTAAATTATTTTTGCTTTCATAACTTCTTATTTCAGGCTAGTTTTAAATTCACAAAACAAAAATTGTAGGTCTACAAAGGGTTCCCAGTTTCCCCTATTACCGACATTGGAATATTTGTCACAATCTGTAAACCACACCTAATGTTCCTTAACGTCTTAGAAGCTGTTCCTCATAGCCTCTGGTGGTCCACGTTCTGTGTTCATATTAAGGCGTTTTTGTTGCTCGCACACATGAGAGCATGTGGTGCTTGTATTTCTGTTTCTCAGTTCCATTTTTTTTTTTTTTTTTTGCCGAAAATTGCAGTCGTTCTTTTTAATGGCTTAATACTATTCCACTGAGCATGTAGAGCCCATTTTCTGTATCCATTCACGTTAAGGACAGATGCCTTGGTTGATTGCATATCTTAGCTATTGTCAGCAGTGCTACAATAAACAGGTGGGGCATAAAAAAGTAACTTTTTTTTTTTGATCAGTTAAAAAGAAGATGAAGTAGAAAGTAGTATTTTTTACATTCCTTCATTTTTCATTTACCAGCAAGGGCTGCTATAGTAGAAAATAGATTACAAATTTTACCATGATTTCACGTCTTTTGGATATGTAATCAATAGTGGGATTGTGTGGCAGTTTTATTTCTAGTTTAAGAATCTCCATACTGTTTCCTACAGTGGCTGTACTAATTTACATTCCCAGCAACAGTTGATATAAGGATTCCCTTTCATCTTCCTCGGCATTTATTACTTTCTTTTTGATAATTGCCATGCTGATAGGGGTGAGGGGCCGTATCATTGTGGTTTTGATTGGGTTTCATGATGGCTTGTGAAGCTGAGCGCTTTGTCATTTGTATTTTTTTCTTTTCAGAAATATGCAAACAGGTCCTTTCTCAGTTCTTGATTGGTTATTTTTTTAAATCTAAGTTTATTTCTCATCTAGTGTCTTCCATGTTTTCCTTCCCATGACTTTACCTCTGGGCAAAAGAGAGAAGATTTGGCCAAAGCGAACTTCAGATGTAACCATCAGTCCGTGATGTAACGGAGTAACTTCTGCTGGTTATGTTTAGTCTGTTTTCCCACTGTTGCTTGCCCCTTTAGCATGTAGATGCCTAAGGGGATTGTGATAGAGAAAGTATGGCCCTTTAGACAAATTTTATTTTATTTTTATTTTAATTTTTATTGGAAAGGCAGATATATAGAGAGGAAGATCTTCCATCCGGTGATTCACTCCCCAATTGGCTGATCCAAAGCCAGAGCCAGGAACTTCTTTCCGTATCTCCCATGCAGGTACAGGGTCCCAAAGCTTTGGGCCGTCCTTTATTGCTTTCCCAGGCCACAAGCAGGGAGCTGGATGGGAAGTGGAGCTGCTGGGATTAGAACTGGCGCCCATATGGGATCCCGGCGTTTTCAAGGCGAGCACCTTAACCATTATGCTGTCATGCCAGGCCCTAGACAGATTTTATCAAAGGAAAAGCATTGATCTGAGAGAGAATTACATTAGCTTCTTGTTTACAAAGATTATGTTTTCATTTCTGCATGATTTTCCTATGTCCCACTTCTTGGGTTCCACTCATATGGTTTGGTATTACTACTAGTAGCCACCCATCAGAATGTGTTAGGGAGTTAAAACTGTCAACAACTAAAATAAGAAAAGAGATATCTAAGATAGAGAAAGGGCCTTCCAGGACTCAGTTACCTGTAAATGAAGCATCTTAGTTCAGCCTGCAATTTTAGTGTGCTGAAAAAGTGTACCACACAGCCCCTGTTCTATTTTCAAATGAAAAATTAGAGTAGTCCTTAATAGAAATGACATTTTTCTGATCAGTTAGGAAAATTAAGTAGAGAATAGTATTTATGACATTTTCATTTTGCATTTACCAGCAAGGACTGATACTGAAGAAATGAGATTAGAAACCTTTCCATGTCCAGTGTGCACTGGCACACAATTTTTGAAAAAGATTTATTTATTTTTATTGGAAAGTCAGATATACAGAGAGGAAGAGAATCTTCTACCGCTGATTCGCTCCCCAAGTGGCCCCAATGGCCAGAAATGAGCTGATCCGAAGCCAGGAGCGTTTTCTGGGTCTCCCACACAGGTGCAGGGTGCCTAGGCTAGTCCGCCCTCAGCTGCTTTCCCAGGCCACAGACAGGGAGCTGGATGGGAAACGGGGCCACTGGGACACAAACTGGCGTCCATACAGGATCCTGGCATGTGCAAGGAGAGGACTTTAGCCATGAGGCTACTGTGCCAGGCACACTTTTTTTTTTTTTTAAGATTTGTTATTGGGAAGGTAGATCAGATTTACGGAGAGGAGAGACAAAGATCTTCCATCCACCAGTTCACTCTCCAGGTGGTCACAACAGCCAGAATTAAGCCTATCCAAACCCAGGAGCTTCTTTTGGGTGTACCATGTGGTACAGGGACTCAAGGTCATGGACCATCCTTTGCTGCCTTCCCAGGTCATAAGCAAGCAGCTGGGTCAGAAGTAAAGGAGTTGAGACCCAATCCAGTGTGTCTATGGGATGCCAGCACCACAGATGTTTTAAATGAAGCCAGTGCCGCTGTGGGCTGCAGCACAATTTGCTTGAACCCTTCAAGAACAGTAAATACTAGATTATAGGAAACAAGTGGAAACTCATTAAATATCCAAAAGGGGGAAATTTTCCTTTCCTCTGGCATAGTTCCAGAAAGCATGGAATCTGTGGATCTTGAATCAAACTTTTTTTTTAGATTTATTTATTTTTATTGGAAAGGCAGATATACAGAGAAGAGGAGAGACAGAGAGGAAGCCCTCCCGTCCAATGATTCACTCCCCAAGTGAGCGCAACGGCCGGTGCTGTGCTGATCCGAAGCCAGGAGCCAGGAACTTCCTCCAGGTCTCTCATGCGGATACAGGGTCCCAAGGCCTTGGGCAGTCTTCCACTGCTTTCTCAGGCCACAAAGAAGGAGCTGGATGAAAAGCAAGGCCACTGCGATTAGAACCGGCACCCATATGGGATCCCTGCGCGTTCAAGGCGAGGACTTTACCCACTAGGCTACTGTGCTAGGCCCTTGAATCAAACTTTTAAGGAAAAAAAAAAATCTTAGAATAACAGGGAGATGAAATTCCTTGGGGCGGCGAGAGTATAAACAAGAGGAATGGAAATAGAATGGGTATGCTCGGTGTATGTTTACTAGATGGCAGAAATGGTAAGTTCCTATTGGAGAGTAATAGAAAATAAAATCAGAAAAATGATGAAAAGCCACTTGACAGAGGCCCTTGTCTAATGAATTTCACTTGGTCCTGTGGGCAAGCATCCTCAGTCGATTTTGCTTTGAGTTTTTCTTTCTTCTTAGTTTCCCTCTTATACTGCAGAAGTTAAGAGTGGGAAGCAAGTACTGTGATCTAGAGCGTCTGGGGTGGGTGAGTATTGGCCTTGTACACCAGCGCCTGTTTGGGTCTGCACCGCGTGTGAGGCGCTAGAAATGCAGATGGCGTGGTGCCAGTCTCTCGTCCTGTAGCTCACAGACTAGTCAGGAGGCTGCCTTATAGTTACAGTGTAGTTTGAGATGCTCGAACGTGCTGTGAACAAACATAGAAAGGTAATTGGGGATAAAATGTGTCAAGGGAAGGTTTGGTGGAAGAGATAACCCGTGAGCTGAGAATGAGTAAGAATTGAGAAGGCCTTCTGGGCCAAAGGAATGGTGTTTTCAAAGATGCTGAGGCAGAAAAGGGTTTGTTGTCTTTGGAGCCTTGATCCTTGGCAGAAAGGAAGCAAAGAAGGACATTGAAAGAGCAGGAAATGAAGTTGACAGGTTGAGTCAGAGCAGGCATGCTAATGAATTTGAGGGTGGTTTTGTAAATCTGCTGTTCTCAGCGTTTTCCACATCCAGGCTGTTGATGTACCCGAAACTCCATAATCATTGATGGACATGGAGGGATGGTAAGAGAAGCAAGGTAGACAAGTCCCCTCCATGTGACGCAGGGGTCTAACAGGCCCAAACCACCTTCATCACAAGATACCTTTGCCTTTTTCACTCTGATTCTCTCACAAGTGTTGATCGGGCTCACTGAGTTACAGTTAATACAACGTATGGCTGTGTATTGTGTTTTAAAATTTTCTAAATTTTAATTTCTAATTTGGTAAATATCAGTAGTTATAAGCTACAAAGATAAAAGTTTTTTTTGTGGTCCTTGATACCTTTCAAGACTGTAAAGAAATCAGAAAACAAAAAATACAAGAAATTCTTTAGTGGAGGAAAATAGTAAATAGGGTATAAAAGTAGTCTGATTTCAAAGGACTCATTACTAATTAGTTTAGGCTTAGCTAATTACAGAGCTGTTCTAAATTGTTGGATTGGTGAGTGACATAATGAACATGGCCTAGCTGAGACTATGATCGAGGTAAGATTGTAGTGAGTAGGATCAGGTGTGGAAACCTAGCAGTTAAAGGGCCCTCATCCCTGAGGACTGGTTGTAATGCAGCAGGTTGAACAGCTGCTCTCAATGCTGGCCTGCCCTATTGGAGTGCTGGTTTTAGCCCCAACTGTTCAGCTTCTTATCTGGTTCCCTGCTGATTCAACTGGGAAGCCAGCACAGGCTGGCCAAAGTGCTTGGGTCCCTGCTACCCATGTTGGGGACCAGGTTGGGGTTGTTGGCTCATGGTTTTGGCCTGGGCCTGACCTGGTAGCCATTTGTGGGGTAAGCAAGTAGATAAGAAGACCTCCCCCTCTCTCTAGCCCCCCTCTCTCTCTGCTGTGCTGTTTTTC